AAAAGATAAATTATATATATCAGATGACTTGTTTGTTGATAACTGTCCAAAACTATGTTGTAGAAAAACATGTGATACATTAAACAAATAATAAATATTATTTATTAAATATNTGACGTTTTCAAACATGTATAAGTTTCAGATAAAGAAGAAGAAACATTTACGAGTACATAAACGTTTGATAAAAAAATTGAAATATGAAATGTATTAACTTTAAAAAATAACTANTTTAAAACTTTATTCTTACGTAAATCTTTTATAAACATCATTAAAAAAACTTAANTGTAAGTGTTAATGTATAAAACAAACTCATATATTTCGAATTATTAGGATAGAATTCTGGATGTATTGAATAAGTTTCTTGAGGATTCGTTGCATACACCTTCTTCCGAAAATAATGTCATTAATCAGTTATATTACGAAGTTTTAAAATGGGCATGTATTCTCGATAGCATGAAGTGCAAAGATATTGTAATGGCTGAATTAACGTGGCATATACACAGTCCTGCACGAAACAGGTACGTTATTGATTTAATAGCAAAATAATAGTATTAAAGACCTTACCTGATTGTAGTTATGTTGTTTTACGTTTATATACAATTATAACATAAATTTTACATTGTTCGTATTATTATTATTATTATTAGTATTTTTGTTGTTGTTGTTGNTTTTGTTGTTGTTACAAAAAAACAACATTATCGCGTCTAGTGATTTCTTTATTTCCTTCTCTTTCTCTTCTTTGAGTAAAGGTATATATATTATTTTATTGCAGACTTTTGCCAAGTTGGCAAAGATGGATATTTTGCCAGAGTTTAATGCTAGAAAATTCTATGTATGAAAACTCTTCTACATGGTATACATTAAAAACCATGTACAAACCACAGTCAAAAGATGAAGAAATGTTTAAGTTCTTACCTTGTTCTAGACATCGCAGAAATATTTTCTTATTTTTTTATTCTTTTTTTACTAATGTTTTGCCATCTTATGAAGCTACTGTAAATTTAAAACTAAGTGATAGAGTATCTTTTCTTTTTAATATTCTTGCAAAGCATTCAAAAACTGTTCCATCGCTGACGCCTATACTAGAAGGAATACATTACATAGAAAGGTAAACCACTTTTTCTTAGGTATAGAGTTTTGCATATTTATACACAATGTATGTACGTTCTATATTGACTGCATATGAAATCCATTTGCCGCATATACGATGTTGTATTATAATATATACTTAATACGTAAACAAATAAATTTTACATATTAATTTTCATTGTTTCTTGTGATAGCGACAATAACATACATGCAATAATGAACTGTATTATTAACAACATATATTCAGACGAAGGCCTGTCGATGGTACGTATAGGAAGTACTATATATAGTCATTTGCTTTATTAATATATATGGTTTACTTTATCTACTTTTACATATATAAACATTTACACATTTCGGTTTTTATACATATCATGTATGTGTTTATATACGTAAGTGTGGTAGAGGTATATTGTAGTTATATAATATATCTTAAAATGGTTTTGATATAATAACGTTAATATGTAATATTATGTGTTTTTACACAATGCGCACGCACATCACATTCAATGCTAACAGCACAAAATATTTTCAGGTTACCGATGGAAAGTTCTTACAAATGCTGAAAGACAGACATCGTGCGGTAAATGTTTTTATAGACTATTTGAAGTAATCTATAAGTAGTGTTTCTTGGTGTTTAACGATTTTTTTGAGTTTCTAAATGTAAACTATTTTCTATTTCTAAATTGATATTTTGTTTGTTCTTATAAACATATATTTTTTTTATCCAATCTCTGCAAACATATACAAAATTATTATATAAAATTTTGTAATCTGTTCCAGCCATCTTCTGTTATTTTCGCCGTAAAATACAAAGTTGATGATCGTCGTGCTTTATTAGTTAAAATAAAAAATAACTTCTTTACAAGCCGTAATATGCATTTATTTACAGAGATTTAATGTTAGATTTATATACTCGTTTTATTTATTTTAAAGGAACAAATGCTACCAATTACCTGTATTTCTCACTAGTTTTGTAAATTGTGTTTAATAAGAAAAGTTTTCTTTTATGACAACAAAAAATATTTATTACTCATATTTAAAATCGGTACTACAGGTTACGGATTTTAATATAGTTAATAATTCGCGCCAGTTGTCCACAAAAGAAAATTAGATCTGTATTAAAAGTAAATAATTTANAATAGTTTATTTGATTAAAGTATTGTTGTACAGTTAAGTATTTATTAAGCATCTTGCACAAAAAATAAGTTTATATATTAAGTACATAGTAAAACATTACAACATATATACATATATACATAAGATTATAGAAATAAGAGAAAACAGTTATATATTATTTAATATTAAGTTTAACATAATTAATTCTTAATTGATTAAGATTATTACTATTAATTATAAAACAATAAAACTTACGGTACTTTTCCTCTATTATGTTTTANCTATAAATTAATTTTGGTTATATATTTTGTATTTATAATAAACATACCATTTGCTTCATTTCTTTGGTTACTTTTTAATGTTTCTTAAAATTTTAACAATGTGCACTAATGTCTACCATGTTTATATGTAAACATATTTATATGTATACATTATATATTTATATGTAACTTAATATAATCATTTTGTTTTGCTGTAGTACAAATACTCTAAGTACAAATGTGTTCTTCCAAACGGAACTTTATTGCTTGCTACCTTTATCGTCTTTTTTTTTTAAATACAAAATTATTTTACTCTAAAAATAATATTTTGTGTTAGAAACTTTTTTATAAAAACTTTTCGGAATGTACAAATAATGTCATTTGGTGTAATTGTTATCTATTGTTTTACTTATTTAGACTCATAAACAATTTTTTACTACTACAGAAGACTCTAAACCTCTACATATATTTTTCTTAATGAACCTATTGAAACATCATGTAACATTGTAACATGCAGTACACTTGATGCGCGCGTACTCTCGCACTTTAAAATAATAGATATTTATGTACAACTACAATACGTTAAACCTTTATCGACAGACGCGCTATCAGAATTATTGCGGTATTCTATCTTTGTATTATATCTAATATGCAATAAAATAGAGCGAAATGAAATAGCGCTCTTTTTTACCGCAGCTAACTCTACAGATTTACATCAAAATATCAATCAAAAGCGAAAGTGATAA